GTATTGTCAGTTAATCATTAAAGTACTATTAATAATATTGAAAACTATGATGTGTAATATTTCATGAAGCAGAAGTGAGACTTTTTTTGTTTTTTAGGACTCATGAGAATAGATATATAGTTGCATTCAATACCTAAATAATAAATAATAGATTTTTCTCTGATTTGTCGAGTTCAACGAAGGATTTCTCTTGTCTTCATCTGTCAATCAATTCCATTGAGAATTTAAGGTCATATTAATAATGATCTGAAAGGTCACTGCTCATATGAATGTTGTTTATGCCTCTAGGCAGCCATTTCATGTTTAGAGATATTCATAGATCAACGTTCAAACGAGGTTTGAACTGACATTTCTACGGAAGGAAATAAAAGCATATTAAAATGTCTTTTTTTTTCTTTTGTTTCTTTAGAGCAAGTAACAGTTCGGTGCTTGATTCAATGTCCTTTTGTACAATTGAACTTTCAATTGGTCTTATACTTTATTTAAAAGATATAAATCCAACCACAGCACTAATATGTATATTTAAAAAAGAATCGAAAATAAATGAAGGTAAAAAAAAAAACAAAAAAAAAAAAAAAAAACTTCATGTGTTTCGCCTTTTTTTTGTTGTTCTTATAGCTTTAATGGAAGTTAATTTAAATATTTTGAAAAAAAATATTCAAGAATTATTTCTTACTAATACAAAATGTTCAAAACGACAACAATTAAATACATCAATAACATCAATCGAATGATTTGAGAGGTGTTGTTTGTATTTTTTTTTTCTCTTTTCTCTTTTCTTTTTCTTTTTCTTTTTCTTTTTTTTGGTTTTTTTTTAATATATGTACGTGTATTTTTATTATTGTTATTTGTTAAGTGAAATCATCGGAGATTGAAGTCAAATACAGTTTTAGTCAGTAGATAGAAGTTTTCAGCATGTATGTATCCATTCTACTAATTTTACTTCCGCCCTAAATAATTTTATATGCACGTTCGTATCATTCTAAATGAAAGAAGACAAGAAACAAAAAAATCGAATAGCTATATATATAATAGATAGCTTATATAGTTCATTTCTTGATTAATGTTGTCTTTTGTTGTATTTTCTAGTCTATATTTGAGGTCAAGTTTGCGTCACTACTAATATATAGGATAAGTGTAACAAAATTTATTGTGTTTAGATTAGTTTTCTTTAATGCTAATTTTCCGACTACTTTCTTGTTTTTTTTCTCCTTATGTGCGTACATATATACACAGAAAAGTATTGAGTTACACAAAACAGTTGCAGATACTTCATCCGAGTGTGTATGAACATATATATACGGATTGCTTTTTCTTTTCTTGTGCAATGCACTCGACTTTATTATTCCCATTTCGATACATCTTTCTTTTCTTTTTTTTTTCTCTTCTCATACATATATATATTCTTTATTGTCTTCTTTTTTTTTCTTGTTTGTTTGTCTCAAATGAATGACTTTATTTTTATATTAATAATACTACTATTACTATTGCGTTATTTTTTCTCTCAATTGATGTTGTGTCGCGATGTATGTGTGTGTATGTATGTAGGTATTGAAACAATAGGAAATGTTTTGACGACGATGTGCTTTAGTTGAAGGTGGATGGGAGTTTGAAATTGAAAATAAAATGAAAATTTGTTTCTTATAATAATATTTTTTGCTTTTATCTTAGTTATATGAGATAAAATCTAAGATATGATAAGTGATACTTGAATTAATAGACACACAAAATGCTAATCGAAAAAAAAATTCATATGAATAATCCTAAAAGCATTGAAGAAAATAAAAGTTTCAAATAATTTATATTATCATCAGAGTAATTTTTTTTCTTATACAATAGATGAATTTATTAAAATTGGTGGTATGACGAATAAAAATGTATTGCTATGTTGCTGAAGACAAATTTTTCTTTTTTTTTTGGGCTGTTATTTTCAACTGATTTCATCATTTTTCAGTCATGTCTTAAGTGCATTCAAACGACCCTGGCCTTGTTTTTTCTTATAACCCTTGAGAAGGATGTTTACTTTTACAGTACTCTTCAGTTTATATATGCTACAATAATTTAACAAAACTGTCTTATAATGATGAAAAAATTTTAGACTATATCTACGCATTAGTCACAGAATGACTTCTTGTTTACCAAGAAAATTATGGTAGAAGATGTGAGTTACTATCCAATCAAAAGATTTATTTTAATTATGTCTTGATATTTTTGTTAGATTTGATTGTTATTGCAATGTATTGAAAGAAAGAAAACAAGAACAAGAATTTCCTTGATTTAAAATTATTCCTTTAACAAAATTGCGACATTTTAATTACATATTTCAGTTAATTTATAGTTCTATTCATAAATAAACAATGAATAGCATAATGTTTGAAAATTTTGGGTTTTGTTTTGTTTTTCTTCGAATAAAATTTATGAAAAAATTAGTTAGTCTAAAGTACTTATCAGATAATAAATGTACCTACAATAATCTTTTGACTTTAATCGAACATTGATATGAATATACCTTTGTCTTATTTTTTTTTTCATCTAAGATATACTGTTATATGATTGTTGTTTAAGCTGTCAGATTGACGTCATCACCATGATAATTATAAGATATGTAATGAGTTGATGAAAAGATTTATTGAAGCAAAAATATTAAAAAGAAATTATCATTCCGCTTTAAATTTCAAAATAAAAAAACAAAACAACCAAGTGCCAAAAAGTAGATAATCTTATTTAAATCATTGAGAAAAAATGTTCTAAATATTTAATTGATTTTGAGAAAAATCTATTTTGATAGGAAGAAATCTTATGATCAGATTTTTATTACACAAAGTTTTGCTTGTACAAACGAATTTTATTCGATTTGATTAACATTTTACATACTGCTCGTAAATAAATCCAAAAAAAAAAACTAAAGTAAATCTTTCCGAACTTCATATATATTTCTTTTTTCTATAGATTTATTTATGCTGTTATGTTCGTCATATCCAATATATTTGTCAAATATTTCAATTCATTTAGTTTATCTTTTATTTGCATTAGTAAAATCTTGCTTTGACGTGTTTCAGACGATCTCTTTTTTCTTTTTTTATCAAATCAAGTGTTCTTAATAACATTTATCTATATTGATAATGGTTGAAATAAATATAGAATGAAAGAGTTTTTTTGAGTACAAATTTTTTTGAAATTTCATTATTCTACTTGCAATTTTAATAAAGCTATGCAACAATGATTTATACTAATATTATCAAAGTTTATTGTATTCTCAACATTAATAGAAGACAATAAAAAAAACTAGATAATTGTCATAAATTACATTTAAAAAGAAAAAAAGAATATATGCTCCATGTTTTAAGTGTCTGAAAATGAATGTGTTTACTGTATCAATGTATTTGAATACATTATTCTTGTAAAAAGAAATGAGACTGTCATTCTACAATTCAACAAAAAGAATGAAAATCTATTAGTTTATACTTAGTCATTACTGTTTTTTGAACTTAATTTTTTCTTCAAAAAGAAAAAAAACAAAAACCAAGCATCCATGTAAATTTTAAGAGCAAAAAAAAGAAAAAAATTATACTTATGATGTAGAACAATCGTAAAATTAGAGAAAGAATAATGATGTGTATTTATAACAACAATACTTGAAATCGGTAATAACAAAAGCAACATCATTATATATACGATGTTTATTCTTAATTTCCATTTACATTGATATAGAAGGAGAAAGAGAAACCCAGTTTGAAGTAGGTATTTATTTGCTTTAGTTGCCTTTTTTTTTTCTTTTAAATTGTTAACGAGAAATAAATTCCAACACCTGGTCAATTTTTTTTTCTATTATAGAACTGTAGTCATACATCATATTTATCCTTTCAATGCCAACATTAACAGATGGTGGTTGATTCACGTAACAACTAATACATTGATTGTTACTCGGTTTTTATTGATACATTTTATTCTTAATATCATATATTTGATGACAAAGTCCAGAACGACTAATTAAATGATAATCACTTCTTTTTTTTTTGTTCGATGAAAAAAAAAGCAATGACAACGACGCGCGCAATTTCATGTACGTGCTTGTCCTTGAGACAAGATATTATCCTAACATCAAAGTACTCTAATGGGTTAAGCACTACGTGTACGACAAGGGGCAGATGGTATCTAATTTTCACATCGATAAAAACATGCAAACTGATCTTTTTTGGAATATGAATATCAGATGCAAAGAAATAGAATTGATTAAATTATGATAAACAAAAAAAAAAAAAAAAAAAGAAAAACGATGAATGCAAAATATTTCAGTATACTCAATCTAAAATTTCTTTCTTTTTCTGTACTTCCAGAGCATATTTTTCATTTATATTTTAGTAATATAATATGCAAACATTACATTGTTTTTTCTTGACTTCTGTCATATTATCACACCATAACCATCATTGACACCAACGCACATTTTTTACTTGTCCTTTCAAGGTGTTGTTGAGTGTATTCGACTGTGGCATAAAAAGAAAGGACATTTAGTGAATACCGTCTAAAATGTTTGGCTCTTGTGTCCTTATCGTACGAATATAAATATATGAATCAAACAATGCTAAGATAAAGAACGGATATTCTTGTTCTTCAGTTCAATTTTCTATCCCGGTCTTTTATTAGAATGACCTCATTATGCTTAAAATAGCGGTTACCCTCGTTGACTATTTTCTATTCTTATATTTTCAATTGTATAATGAAACAGCTGACAAACCAGTAAAGATTCATAGTCTATGTTTTTTGTTTTCTTTCACTCTCGCTTACTTTTTTTCTTCTCGACAGACGTATTTAACGAATAAAGAGAAGTAGAAGAAAAGAGAAGAGAGATGAATGTATATAATATATATATATATATTTAGAGTAACAAAACATAAATCAAGAATGAGACAAGTAAATTTATGTGAAATATATTTCTACTCGAACTTTGATCTTATTCAAAAAAAAAGAAATTTCTTTTTTTTTTTAGTTATTTTCAGATGTCTGTAGATGTTGACTTTTTTCCTCATTTACTTATGAAGGATAGTATATTAACAACACAATATGATAGAAGAAATAGTTGGACTATGTCAGTATCTTCATCATCATCATCATCATCAACAGCAGCAATAACAACAACAACGACAAATACAACATCATGGTTCGAAAGAAAATTATTTAGTCATTTTAAACGTTTTTTTCGACGAAAATCTTTATCATTAATATCAAATCGTCGAATATCATTATCAAATATTGAAAATATTCTATCATTACCAGTTAATGAAACACAAAAAGTCGAAGAAGAAGAAGAAGAAGAAGAAGAAAAAGAAAAAGAAGAAAAATCTCCTATTAATAATGATAATGAAAAACTTTCATTATCAACAATATCATCTATTTCTAATTCAATTGATTTACTTTATGATTATGATCGTCTTCTTGAACGTTGTATTAAACAACATGAACATAATCATACTACTAAAATAAATGTACATTGTCAAACACCAATATCAATTCCACATGCAGATTTAATTGTTAATCAAATATGTACAATAATTATTAATTGGAAATCTTATATACGTTTATTTCATTCATTAAAACGTGATCCACATTTATTTCAACAATATATTAATCAATATTATTCATGTCAATCATTTATAAATCAACGTGAACAATTAACATTAAATATTCGTACAACAAAAACAATATTTGATAATGTTTTACGAAAATTTCTTGATGATTATATTACATGTTTAATATGTCAAACGGCACAAACATATTTGATTAAATCAGATCGTATATGGAGAATAGAATGTCAATTATGTGGTATTCAACGAATAGTTAAACGTCTCAAATGGAAACATCATCAATAATGATCATAATACTAATAATAATAATACAAGTAACAATAAAAACAAAAAAAAAACAACAATAGTGATATACGATATCTTAGTTGTGTTCTTTTCAAATCTAGTCTCTTCTGTCTCATTTCATTTCTTGTTGATTGTTACTGATGTCTTAATAGATTTTTTTTTCTCTTTTTCTCTGTAGCTATGCTTTTAACTGCATGCCATACATACAATAAGCAAAAGAGCACTTTAGAAACACCTTTTATGATAATATCGTTGTTGGTATGCAATTATTTCATTTCTTTTTTTTTTTTTCTATGTGTTTATCCTTTGCATCATTTATATACTTTTTTCTAAAAGTATATAAAATAAATAATAATTTTTCGTATTTTATGTAGCATCATATTTACAAAAAAAAAAGGAAAATCTTTAGAAAACCAGGGTTCACCGAGTGAAATTTTTGAAGATAATCAAAATGAAGCCTTTTTTTATTTTTCAAATTAAATGTGAGAACAAGCATAAAATAAATAATGAAAAAACAGCAGGTTCTTACATGAGTCACATCAGAAAAGAATACCTACACGTTTTGATTTTTATCAATATAAAAAAAAAAAAAAACTATTTCTAGTTTCAACAGATGTCAGTAGAATTCAAAGATTGTTGCCAAGTCTTTTCTATTATTTGTTAAACATATGAACCATTAAAGTAAAAATCAAGTTAAAAATAGATAATTCAATAGAGTTCTTTTCTAAATGAATATAATGAAAGTTTTATGATGAAATAAAAAGTTTTGTTTTTTAAATGATTCCGAATTCAGGTCAAATGAACGCTTGTTCTTTACGATACACACATACATATAAATTCAATCACATACAACATAGAATGAGGCCGAAAGTGAGTATATGCGTGTATCATGTAAAAAATACTAACGGAATTTTACTTAATAATATAAAAATTTCGAAAGATTAATAATTATTATCTACATTTAATTTCAGATGTTTCTTCGTCTACTTCGTTCATATGATAAAACAATAATATTAAATGGAATCAAATTTTCTCGTTTTCTTTCTGAATCATCATCATCATCAAGAGGACGTGCATTAAAATGTTATAATAGTAAAGAAATTTCATCATCAATGAAATTACCCGTATTAAAACGTGTAGCAAGAAAAAAACCAACATGGAAAGAAACAAATATATTAAATCAACGTGAAGAACAATATTTTAATGTAATTGCATATGCAACTGCTGATTGGTATGATTTAGATCGATTAAAACAACGTTTTATTTCATTATCAAAACCACCTCAATTAATTCATATATCAAATATGTTAGATAATGTTTTATGTATTCAAATACATCGTGAAATAAAAGAAAAAAGTGAAGCATTTATATTTGATGATGGTGCTGTTATTTTTTGGAATGTTCAAAGTGATGATGAAAAATTAATTTTAAATGAAGTAAATAAGAAATTTTTCATTTTTAAAATTTTTTGTTTTATGTTTTATGTTTCATTTTTCTTTTTTCTATTTTTTTTGATTGATGAAGTAAGTGATAATCAATATCCAAAAGATTTAATTAATAATGAAAAAGAAATTATGAATTTTATTGAAGTTTCAACAATGAGTACAATTAATAATGATATTATTAAAGTTAATTGTCTATCTGAAACAGAACAATTACTTGATAAATATACATTTTCAAATGCACTTGCACTTTCAGTTAAATTAGGTAGAATAAATAAATAAATTTTAATAATATTTTATTATCATTTTTTGTTTTTATTTATAAATAGGAATTTGGGAAGCTTTACTTGATGATGAAGTTGAATTTGTTGCTGATTTAGCAAATCGTTTAAAACAAGAACACCATATTAAAATTGAACGTGGTTTAATGCAACGTAAAAGTGGTGAACTTTATTCACTTAAACATGCTGTTAATCTAAGTCATGGTATTATTTTTGTTTTAATTCTAAAGAAAAAAAAAAAAAAAAAACATTGATGTTTAGAATTTAAGGAAGTCTGAATTTCTATTGCAAATCTTTTGTTTTTATTTAGTATATGAAACTAGATTAATTTATCACGAAAATGTATTATATGAATTAAAGATACATTAAGATGATTTTGGTTTCAGCAAAAATGAATGAATTTTGAAGAGGAGAATAACTTTTATTGTCTGGATACTTTATCTCTTGTAGAAAGAAAAATCCAGAAATTTTTAATCTCATCGTTGAGATTAATTTATTTCGAAAGTTTTAAAATTTTACATTGAGTCATTTCTTGAAATTCTCCGAAAAAAGGAAGATACTTTTAATTATCACTCATATAATGTCTGAGTAAGGAAATATTAGAAGTAAACTTGTTATAGTCAGAATAGAACTTTTATAAAAATACTTAAAAGTAGTTATAGAAAAACAAAAGACAATAACTTCTTAAAATTTTCTTCGATATTTAAAAATAAAATTAAGATGGTATTTATTGAATTTTTAAAGAGTGAGAAAATCTAATTGATTTCATTTGCTCTTTTAAAATATATTTCTTTTTTTTTTTTACAATAGATAATATTTTATAGAAAAATCTCAATGACATTAACTTAATCAGAATACTATTTGTAGGTTAAACAAACATATTTCGTTTCATGGAAATTTTTTTCTGTAAAAAAACAAAAAAAACATTCTTTTGATTTTTTCTGCATAGATATTAGTCAGGTCATGTATACTTTAATTGAAAAGAAAAAATGTCGAGAATTGAGATGAGGGAATTTGAATATTTTTTCGTTCGGAAGATAAAAGAACGTAAACTAGTATATTCGAATGAGAATGTTTTCTTTTAAAAGTTATATACTTATATGTTGTACTTTGGATCAAAATTGAGTTTACTATTAGTAACTCTACATAATCACGAGTAGATTAATTTATTTATTTATTATGTAAAAAAATAAAAAACATATTAATAATTCATTTCAACATTTCCAAAAAAAGGAACATTTTTTCATATTTAATAACGTACCGATCTTGAATATTTGTTTATCAGCCATAGAATTATTTATATATAGCCCATGCACTGGATTATCTTTCTAGAATAGTTGATATTTATTTAATCGACGACAATTTAAGGTTAAAAAAACCATAGTATCCTGTCTGATATATTAAAATCTATGTGTCATTCGGTACAATTCATTTTATTTTCAAAACGGAGAAAAAAAAAAGATAATAATCACATTTTCTGTTTTGCAATATCGTGCTACGTTTATAAACGATATGAAAATAGGCCATTATCTATTTCACCTGGTTCGATAGACATGATATTTACATTTATAATATCAAACATTCGACGCAAAAAAAAAATTTGTTTTCCCATTTTTTTTCTTTTTAGACTTTCTTGATACACCGGATTTCTATTGGTCAAATAGTCGATTAGAAAAGTAACTAAAATAAATATTTAATGTTTGATAATTTTTTTTTGTTTTTTAGTCTTTATAAAAAAATCTTTAATTATTTTACAATTGCTAAACGAACAAAAGTTTTAAATGAACGTTTAAGTTTTTCACTTGAACTTATATCAGTTATTGAAGCAAGTTTAAATGAAAAAAAACATGTACGACTTGAATGGATTATTATTACATTAATATTTGCAGAAGTTTTTTTCAATATAATTGATCATATTGATTTTTCTACATGGAAATTTTCTTCGAAAAATTCTAAATCTTTCGATGATTAATTTTTATATTATTCTTTCATTTATATGTGCTATTTTTTTTTGTCGATTTAGTTATATTGATAAAATAAAAGAATATTCAAGAAAGTCAAATGACTTTTACATTCATTATTCATTTTCTATTGATAGTAACTACGTATAATATTATCTATAACTGTGATTGTTGTCACTATGATGTGAATAAGATAAAACAAACTAACACATCAAAAATAATAATTCAGTAGGCTAATTGACAGGATGATGATTTTGAATAAAACACATTGATTATATATAAATGCATTGATTCACCATGGTCTTTTATCTATTTTCTTTTGTTTTTTGAGATATAGTCATAATCGATGAAATGATCAGTCACACTTGATCGATCTTTTTATATAAATATGTGCACTTCTCGTATTCTATTATCAAACAAAAAAAAAAAAAGATGGCAAATGTATGTCCACTGCTCATTCGACCATCATTTACTGGTCACACTTATCATGATTTTCAATTACAATTTGAATCTCCAACAACCAATTGTACTGTAGATCCTATACAAAATCTACTTCTTATTCATTTTTCTCGTATATCAAATTTAACATCAAATAATATATCATATGCTCTATATGATCTAGCAAAACCTAATAATGAATCACCACATGTACAAGTTTTTCCTAATGATCGTGTTAATTTTTGTGTACGATCAGCATTTAATACAGGTCAAAATGATATAACATGTCATGAATTTTATATGGTAACAATGTTAACATCACTAGATAGAACATTATGGCCATTATTAATTATATTTGGTTATATAATTATATTATTAATAGCAATGTTTACTTCTTTAGTATCACAAATATTTGATAAATTATCTCAAACAATTTTTTCAGGTTCAATAACAAAAAAATTATTACAAACTCGAGATATATTTTCATTTTTACCAACATCACAACGAAACTTACATGATATTGGCTTAACAAAATTTGATGAAAAAAAAGAATTTTCAAAAGCACTTGATTTAATTGCAAAAGATTGTCGAACAAATACAGGTGCATATATTATTCAAACATCAAAATTCGATGAACCTATTTGTCTGGATTATTTCTAACAATTAATGTATATTTTGAAAGACTTGATAAAATAAAACAATAAACATAAATAAATTTACTGATGATTATGAATAATTTCTGATAGATAAGAAAACATTTCCATAACACCACCTCCTATTAAAAAAAAATCATTGAATATTTATATTTTTAATATTGAAATAGTATTTACCAGTATGTGCACTCATTTCAAATATTTTCCATTCATTAGATTGTATTTTTGTTAATGATAATTTTTTAATAAGTTCTTCTTTTCTTAATGAGTCTAAAAAAAAAGAACAAGAAAAAATATCATACACATTAAATAATCTATGATAAAGAAAAACAAAAAAATAATTTGTAAACAAACGTGATAGATCTTGTTTATTAGCAGCAATAACGATTGGAATAGTAGATGATCGACCTAATTTTTTCGATAAATCTAAAAGTTCGTTTCTTGCAAGTTGTATTCGTTGTTCATCATGACAATCAATAACAAACACCACACCTTAATAAAAAAAAAAGTATAAAATTATATCAATGATAGTCTGTTGAAATGAAAAACAATGTGAAATACTCGTTCTGAAACACAATCAATCATAGAAATCATAGATTTATGTCCGTGTTAAAATAAAATAATTGAATAGTGTGCCTATGGAAATAAATTTCCTTTTTTTTTTTCGACTATCATGATTTGTTACAACAAATTTGAACTCAAGTTTTTTGTTTCTATGTGACTTAAACTTTCGTAGGAAGATCATTTCGATGAAAAAAAAAAAACAAAAAAACATTCTGTGTCATATGCATAAAGTTAAAAGGGTTATGATAAACATTGTTGAAAGCTTATTATTTGAAGCTCGATAAGTTTCGAGTGTTGATTGTTTTTTTTTAATGTCAAGTTATGTCTAATAAATTTTGACTGATCGAGCATATTTTTTCATTGAAATTGAATATAGACTGTAAAATCTTTTTTGTAGTATTTCTATTCTAATAGAGCATAATAAGAGTTCAATATACTAGTTTTTTTTTTTTTTTTAATGACAACTTATAAAAATTTGAAAATGATAACATTCATTGATTCATAGAAGATTGTAATTCATTTCAAATGTTTATTAATCAACTGAATTTATATAGATTCATATAGTTGTTCTATTTTTTTATAAAAAGCCTTATCAATACGTCGCTATAGTGAAACTTTGTAGCATCTCAATAGAAGTGGTTTCTATTTTTAATATGTCTCATTTTGTATACAACGTTTTACAAATCATTATGTCTATTAAAAATCGAATAGAAATAGACGAAATTTCAGCAGTGTTCAGACTTCCGAAAAAGGAAATTTCGGAAGTTTCGGAAATTTCAAGCATTTGTGTTCTGAATTGCACGTTACTTCCTAAAATGATGTAATTTCCGAAATTTCTGAAATTTCCGCAATTATGTACTTACAGAAATTTCTGAAATTACAGAAATTTCCAATATGTCTAAGAACTTTTGATTTGCACTGCTATATAGTTATCGAGCTGATGGAAATTTCAGAAATTTGGATAATTTCCTTTTTTGGAAATCTGAACATACCTCCGAAATTTAGAATATTTCATCTCTATCTCAATATAATCTAAAAGAAAAGACAACAAATCGAAATAACTTGCATAATTTTCAAATTGTTAATGACAAAAGTTATTTTTATGTAATTGTATCTGTTTATAAAGTATACCCATCTCAAATTGCTTTTTTCACGGTGGAATAGAGTGCCCTAATTCATCTCGAAAACAAAAAAAAAAATGTCAATTCAACTTTTCAAAAGTAATTTTTTCAAGAAAACTTTTTAAAAAAATCATGTATTCTTGGATTTTATTTTATTTTTTTCTCATATATTTAACTTTATCAATATTTTTTCCAGTTTTGACAACATATACTTGACTAGACAAAAGTAATTTTTTAAAGCTTCCTTTTGTCTATCGAAATATGTGTCACGAAACTGAAAAAAAAAATTATTAATAAAATTGCACGAAGCGCAAAATATATCAAAATTCAAGGTTTTCTGAAAGTGTTGTTTTCTTGAAAAATCTATTATTAAAAAATGGCGAAGCATTTTCTCTACATAATTCAATACACGCTATCTAATCATGCAAAAAAAAAAGCAATGAGAGAAAAGAAGAATTTTTTTTTACGGAAAATTTCAATTGCATGCAACTTAAATATAATTTTTTTTTTTTTTAAGAATGAAATAAAATTAATACAAATGATGATTTTCTTCTTATCATACCTTGAATACCCGTTAAATAAAATCTCCATAATTCTCTTGTTTTTTCTTGTCCACCTAAATCCCATATATTAAATGCTAATGGTGCAAGACGTGGATGAACAGTTTCAATTTGATAGACAAATGTTGGTTCTGTTTTAATATGTTCAATAAAAGATGCATGTATATTTAATTGTAAATCAACTAAATTTTTAAATCGTTGAACTAATGTTGTTTTACCAGCAGAATTAAGACCAATAATTATTATTCTAGCTGATGGTTCATCATAAGGAGAACAAATATGTCTAATCTTACTTGACAATACAACTCCCATTGCTCATCAATAGTCAATTTTGTGTTTTACATTGAAAATTTCACCTGACAATGATTGTATGACAAAGACAAATATTGATTAACAAAAATACTCTTATTTCTTCTTCTTTCTTTTTTTTCTTTTTAACATTTCTGAATTTCTTTTCTTTTTTTTTTTTTTCTTTTGAAATAAATCTTCGTTAACATTTGTGTATGAAAAGAAGGAGAAAAAAACCCGTTAAACATGCATTAAAAAAAAACAAAACAAGAAAAAAAAACAGAACTTTAAGTAAAACTATTCCTTTTTTTAGGTAAACGACGTAATGAAAAAAATCGTTGTCGTTGTTCAGTAGACATCGATATTTGATTGTTATTTGAAGCAATAAATATATATAAATTATTTCTTTTACGTTTATGAGAAAAATAATTCAATTGACAAGTTAATATCGATACAAAAGCACGACGAAATCGAACATTAAATGCTGTATAAATAATCTATAATAATAAAAAAAAAAAGCCATAAAATAAAATTAATTAAGAGAATTTTATGTTTGTTTACTGGATTTAAATTTGATGATATATAACCAAGCCAACTAGTTAAATTTAATAATGATGGTTGTATACCACATGATGGACAAACAACTGCAAGAATATTTAATATTGAAAATGGAAGCCAAGCAACAAGAAAAACAAAAAATACAATTCCTAAAACTTTCATTGCACGACGTTCACTTGTTGTTTCTGTACCACCTTTAAATGCATGAAATGCTTTTTGTACAAATGTACTATGAAGAAATGAACGTTGATTTGTATTTGATGTACTTGAATTTAATGATGATCTTGATGATTTACTAGAAAATAAGAAATAAATCATACATAGTCAAGGTCAATATTACTATACAACTGATATTTCATTATTATTATTTTTATTATTATTCTTTTAGTGTATTGTGCTTGAATGATTTCTCATTGGAAATAGAATAAATATAGATATAAATATCTAAAGAATACTGTCTCAAGGGAATCTTCTATAAGTTAAAAGAAAAAAAAAAAATAGTTCGATAATAATTTTTATTATGTGAACTAAACAATGAAAAAGTAAAAAAACAAAAAACAAAAAAGAACTTACGGCCATTCAAGATGATTTGATTTATTATCTGTTTCAATTAATGCTGCTGAATGAGATGATGATGGTGTTGGTATTGATGTTGAATTACTCGTATCTTTAATTAATGTTTTTTGATAATTACGTGGTGATGATGATGATGATGATCGAACTTTTGAAGTTGATTTATGTCGTCTTAAACGATGTGTTGCTTGTGACATCATCATTGAATGATCATCAGGATCTGAATAATATTTTGCTGCTTGTTGTTGAAGACGTCGAATTGTTAATGAATATGTAACAACCATTAATACACATGGTATACAAAAACATATAATTGAACCAAAAATTATAAATGAATTATTATTTAAAGCACATAATCGTTTATGATTATCAATTACTAAAATATTACGTTGATCAGCAAAGCCAAGTATAAGTATAGTACATGATATACCAATTGAAAATGTCCATATTAAAATTATTATACAAAATGTTTTAAATTTACTTTGTTCTCGACTACGAAATGGACGAGATATATAAAGAAAACGATCAATTGAAACAATTGTTAAATGCCATATTGATGTTGTACATAATAAAACATCGAGAAAAACATAAATATTACAAATAACCATCGGTAATTGCCATGATCCTAATTATTTCAAAAAAAAACAAATTTATTCATACAATAGTCATCACATATTCTACTATTTAGATTCACTAAATTAAACACAGTTCAATACATATATATTTTTTTTTTATAATGTTACATGAGCTTAATCTATTTATTAATAAATGTTAATATTCAATAGAATGTTAACTAGATTATGATAAATTTATTGTTAACCACAAATCTATAAAAATTCTACAAGTAAATATTAGATATTTTATTATTCAAATTAATCTTTTGTTATAATATCTAATACTAAGCGATTATGTGTGCTTAAAAATGTTATTCATTAATTGTATTCATATTTATTCAAGTTGAATTATAAATTTTTTTATAAAAGACTAATAAACACTAAAGAATCTATATGTTTGAATATAATCTACTATTAAATATGACATACATTGTAATATCATTCATAGAAAAATTTCTATAAATTTAATTCATATATGTAAATGAATATAAAAGTAATCATACACCTACATATATATATATTTATAAAGGAAAAAAACAAAGTACTTCTTATAGCACTTGTTGTTCTTGACGTGCTACAAAAAAAGAAGGATGAATTCCTAATAGCATTCTTTTCATTAGTTGTTCGATTCACCTCTAGTGTAATTAACATAAAAATAATTGTTCTTATACTTTCATAAACATCAAAAGATGAAGAAAAAAAAAATGATTAAACATATTTTCAATAAAAATTATAATTTTACCTTGAAAATCTTTTATAATCGCAAGTGGCAAAACGACAAGACTAAGAAGACAATCGGCAATAGCCAATGAAAAAAGAAAAAAATTTGTTACAGTTTGTAATTGTTTATCAAGTGATATTGATGCACATACTAATAAATTACCAACAATACCAAATATAGATAATATTGATAAAATTAATACAGGCCAATTTAATTTATTTTTTGTATTTATTGAAATAAAATTATTTGTTTCATTTATTATTGATAATGAAGATATATTTTCATAATGAATAATATTCAAATGATCATATACAGTTGTTGCATAGGATGTTAATATATGAAAATTCGCCATGGGTTATTTATATCATATTATAGAATATAAATATTTTTTTTTAATAACTATATAAGAACTTATTGTAAATGAGGTAAATAATAGAACTAAATAAGCATTATATTAAAGAATAAGAGTGTAGTAAAGATAGCGCCTTATAACAACTTTTCTTTTCCATCTGCAATCATCTTCATCATTTTTCCTGTTGGCTTGTATGCTCTCTTTCTCTCTCTCTCTCTTATTTTATGATTATATTAGAATTAATAAAGGATGAGAAAAACCATCGACGTAGCTACGATTATCATTTCGATGAACAATGACGACAATAGACACGCAAATTATTTTGCTTTTGCAAAGAGAAAAAACAACGAAGTAAATATGACAACAAAAGAAAAATAGGAAGAAAACCAGAAAGAGACAATTGACAACAATTAGACATGCCATAAATTGAGATGAAGTGATTTCTAAATCAGTTAATCGATAAGTAACAAACTCAATTCATCATCATAATTTTCTATCATAGATTTAAACTCTACATACAAAAAATGATAGAAGTATATATTTAATTGATACAAGAAAAAAAGAAAAGAATCCGAACAATCATAGAGTATTGAAAAAGAATAATTGAACATAAGAAGAGAAGAAAAAAAAAAGCTTGTCTTTAAGACTGAAATTGATTTTTTGATGGCTTTTTTGTATCGAATAAAAAAATGTTCATATTATGAACAATGTAATATTTTTTATGAAAGAAAATAAAACTCATCAATATAAAAGACTTCAAGAACCACTTTCCATGTTCTATATCAAGTAGCATAGAGTTCATTTATTTCTTCGTTCTACTACCATTAAATCAAATTGACAGGCAATAACAGATGTGTTGCAAGCAGCACTTTAATTCCATAGAGTGTGTTTAATCAGTAGGATAGATTAAATATTCATTGACCATAATAATTATTAAAGATTACGAATTGATGTTCTCATATAACATGTTTTTTTTTTGTCAAAATCCTATAGAACTCAATTATAATAGTGCAAAAACTTAAAAAATGACAACAAAATATATTGCAAGTTTTTTTCTCTTATTAACCATACAATTTAATGTTTTAACACTTGTTAAATTAATTAAAATAAAAACAAAATAAAAATTATGAATAGGAAGTTCGTGTTCTTTATTTTATTTCATTTGACATCGATTAGATTTAATAACAAAAATAATAAAAAAAAAAAAAAAACTCATACACACACACACACACACACACACAAATACAATTTTATATCTGATCTAATATGATCTTTATTTAGTTTTATTTTTTTTTGTGTTTTCGAAACTCTTTCATATATATGACAAAATAAGTTACCAAAAGAAAACGAACAATACACCTAACAAATAGGAATATTCGATGAATCAATTTGATCATCATATGGTTGTGTATATTCAAATATAAGTAAATCACGTTCATTTATTGATTTACCAATAATTAAATATTCTTGTCGTTTATTAGAATCATTTGTTAATAAGTGTACATATAATGATTGTAATGTATTTTGAGATGATATTAATTCATTGAGAATTTCTTTTCGATATATATTCCATATACGAATACGTTTACCATCATTATCAATTGAAAGAAAATGTCGTTGATCAAGCCAACTAATTGAATGAATCTAAATGATTTCAAAAAAAAAATATATATATTCATCATTTTCTTTTGTTTGTTTTTTTTTTTTCATTTTTGTTGAATAATAATATTGTTGTTAGGGATAGTTTTAATAGATTCTATCACGAAATCTTGATTTAATTATTAAGATTCTATTGTTGTTTTGATCTATTTTCAGTAGGAAAAATTTAATATTCATGACATTAGACTATCCTATTTTAGTACATGTTCATATATCATTATTCAAGTTTAGAATAGTTGATACTATAAAAATTCAAGGATCATTAGTTAAGACAACATGAAAACAAAAAAAAGTGAGAAAGTATAAACTATAGATAGAAAAGAATTATATCTTTTCAAGTATATTCAATTAGATACAAAAAAAAAGAAAGAATCTATTTGATTTCGTTTATAAGAAGAACATTGACAAATTTTATATGATTGTTTCATATATTATTTTTTGACTCTATGTATAGTTCATGTTGAGTAAAAGGATTTTACTATGAGTTTCTGTAAGTTTGTTAAATAATAAATTCAGAGGAAAAAAACCAGAATCTGACATATTGACA